TCCTCTCTCCTCTCCCTCCTCTCTTCCCTCTCTCCTCTCCTCTCTCCTCTCCTCTCTCCTCTCCTCTCCTCTCTTCTCCTCTCTTCGCTCCCTCGCATGTCGACGTCTTGCTGGTCTGCTGGGCCCACAGGGTGCAAAAAAAAAAAAGGCAAAAAACCGGCTTTTTTATTTCTTTTTATTTCTTTTTATTTCTTTTTATTTCAATTCTGACTATCACTTCAAATATTTTCCGAGCCCGCCCGATTTTATTTTGAAATTATCTTTATATTTGAAAACAGAAAGCAAATATTTCAACGTGGTTCTTTAATCTGAGTGTAATGCCCGGTCTCTGATCGGTCCGATGCCGCTGTGTCCTGTTGCGTCAAGATTCCTTCCTCCTCTGCCTGCCTGCCTTGCTTGCTTGCTTGCTTGCTTGCTTGCTTGCTTCCTTCCTTCCTGCTTCCCTGCCTTCCTGCCTGCCTTCCCGCTTCCCTGCCCGTCGTCTCAACCTCGCTTTTGAATTTCTTTGCCACTGTGATAGTGAAGCTTTGTCGAGGGCTAACCATTATTGATGCAACGAATGACATTGAATGATTTCAGAAAGAGGTAGTATTTGTGATCTTTGCTGGTTACATGGTTACCTTGGTCTCCTTCGCACATTGTTATCAGCTCAAACAATTTGACTTGACTTTCTCTCGAGCAGCTGCTGGTTCCTGTGACGTGCCGACTGAAGGAGAACGAGGAATGAGTTCAGCGACTGTGAGGGTCTGAAGTGAGTGAAGCGCTTGACTCACTCTCTCATGCTCTACTCCCCTCTGTTCTCTCCTTGCCTTCTCTTCCTCCTAGTGACCTCGCCTAGTGGAGATGCAGTTTGCTATCCCAGCGTCTTCTCCGATGAGCACGGCGAGTGTGAGGCGATCCTATGGGGTCACGTCAACGAGAGGTGAAGTGGAAGCATGCGGACGCTGCGGCTGATCATGAGTGAAGGGCTGGTCACCACGAGCTCTTCCTGGTCCGCCGCGAATCAAAGCAAGCCTCTGTCCATCATCTCCCGCAGCTCTCAGCCGACTCACCTCCAAGGTCTCCTTCACTGCCCTCTGCTTGTCTCACCGCTCTGCTCCAGCAGAAGGTCCAGCTGAGGCGGCAGACGCGCTCTTCGGCATCGGAGCTGGCGTGTCTGTCGCTGAGGGACGCGGGTTTTGGATAAACAGCGTGAAGCCCGGTGGGCCAGGAGAGGTGAGGAGAGGGAGGGACAAGAGGGACGCGAGGGTCTGAATGGAAACAAAGAGTGCCGGCCTGCTCAAGAACGACCTGCTGATCTCAATTGACGGCAAGCGACCAGCAACTTTAGCTCAGCTCAGGTGAGCTCTCAACGTGCTTGGTTTGTCCTCACTCCTTGAGCAAGGAACATGCTTCTTGGACCCAAGGGCACGCAGGTGGAGCTTGGTGTCCTTCGTAGAGACGTTCCTAGTGGAGCTCCTCTCATCCTTCGGGTTGTGAGAGGCTCCGGGTCTTCTGGATCCGTCGGGCCTGTCAGTTCCTGCGCTGTCGCGGTCTGCTCTGACTCTGACAAGGTGCTTGGCGTGGGCATGGGGCTGAAGCTGAACCCTGGAGGAGGCTTTCTGGTCTCTAACGTACAGGCAAGGAGAGAGTGGCGGTTGCGGGAGGTGAAGACGGAAGCAGGCGGGAGGCCCTGCAGATCGCGCAGGAGTGCTGACGGGCGATGTCATCTGCACCTTCAACGGGGAACTAGTGACCAACAAGCCCGGGACGTACCTGACCGAAGTGAGGAGAAAGCGAGAGGAAGGGGGAGGAGGAGAGGAGGGGGAGGAGGGGAGGAGGGGGAGGAGGGAAAGGTTGCGCTCCGGGATCGGCGGAGAGTGACGGAGCTGAACGCTTCTCATGGTCTTCTCAGGCGCTGAGCAGCAGTGACGACACGATTGTTCGCTTTGGGATCAGGAGAGGAGAAAACTCGTCGCTGGTGTCGGTCGTTGTGGTGATGCGCATGCTCCTGCCTCTCTTGTGTCTCTCATGCTCGAATCAGGTTCGTACGCCACTGAACCAGAAGAGTAGCGGCAGTGTCAACGGGTCGAGCAACCCGAGCCTCGCCTCCTCTGTCACTTCCTCTCCCCAGACAGGCAGGAGCATTTCTCCTCTCCTTCTTTGTCCGTCTTTAGGGCTCCTGACGGTGAAGCAGGCGGGACGTACTCGCACCAGCCCATAGGCGGCATGTCAGGCATGTCGCGCGTGGACTCGAGCGGGTACTCTAGCGGAGGATACAGCACTGCCTACGACTCAGACAAGTCGGACAACCTCGAACCTCCCTCCTCCCTAGCGCGCAGGTGAGACCAGGGATGGAGCGAGACGGGGAGAGGAAGGAGTGCAAGGAGTCGAGCAAACCTCGCGGGGTTGATCCTCCTCTCGACCTGCTCCCTCCCTGCGTCTCGATCTCATCCCGACAGCTCTTTACGCCTCCTCTTCCCATGCTGCTCTGACTCTGCCGGTAGCCGTGAAGGATACAGCAGCGATGAAAGCCTCGGGCCCTCGCCAGCTGTTCCTGTATCGCTGAAGCGAAGGTGTCGCAGCCTTGCCTCCTCCTCGTCTCACTGGCGCTCAGGTCTCACCGGGATGGGGGAAGGATGATACCGGCTGCCGTCAAGTCCTCCGAGGTTCTCTTCAAGGGCTCCAAGGAGGGAGCGACTGCTCCCCGCGAAGGTGCCCCGACCCTCCGCTCCTCCTCCCGCCTGACGCCCCAGCAGGCCATCACCACATTGCAAACGAAGAGCTGCAGGCGCTCAAGAGCCAAGTGGCGGCGCTGCAGGCGACGGTCAGCAAGCAGGCAGAGGAGATGGCGACGCTCTCGTCTGCTCTCGTCGGGCTGAAGAAGCAGCTGGAAGACCGCGAGCCCCCGCACCTCAAGCCAAGCGAGACGGAGGAGCCTGGGGAGGGGACGGGAGAGCTCATGTACGTGTGGAGGAGGAGGTGGAGGAGGAGAAAGCAGTTCGCAGGTTAGCAGCCTAATGCTTCTGCAGGGGAGCGCGACAGGAGGAGGACAAGCGGCAGGTGTGAAGCATGTGAGGCTATCATGACGTCACGCTAACTCGTAGCAGGCGGCTGAGAAGCAGCGGGAGGAGCAGGAGCAGAGGAGAGAGCAGGGATGGCAGAAGCTTCAGAGCGAATGGGGCCAGATGAATCAGCGATGGGAGATGGTCCAGCAGGCTGAATCCAAGCGCGTGCTCGCTGAAGAGTCGCGGGTCGAAGCGTTCAAGGCCCTGGAAGAGGTGATAGCTACCTGCTCCTAATGCCTGCCCCCCTCCCTGCCCCCCTCCCTGCCCCCCTTCCCTGCCCCCCTCCCTGCCCCCCTCCCTGCCCCCCTCTTCTCGTCTCAAGTCTTCCTGGCAGACTTTCAAGAAAGTCATGAGCAACGAAGAGCTTCGCAACCTCGCCGAGCAGCAGCGCTTTGAGGTGACGCCCAACTGCGAGTGACCGCGAGCTCACGCGGCGAACAGGAGGAGAGGAGGAGGAGCGAGAGGATCGCCAAGGTCGAGAAGATCATCGGGGCTCTACGGGATGAGCAGGTACTGGAGAGAGGAGGGGAGAGGAGTATGGAGGGGAGGGGAGGGGAGAGGAGAGGAGAGGAGAGGAGCATAGAGGGGAGATGAGTGGAGGAAGCTGATTGAGTTGCAGGATGGGATCCTTGATGGAGTGGAGGAGCAGAAACGACATTCGCTCAATGTCCTTGAGAGGGTAAAGCTCCTCGCTCCCTCCCTCCTCTACCCCTCCTCTCCCCTTCTTTCACCCCCCCCCTCCTCTCTCGTTGTGCTTCTCCCTTACGAAGACCCTGCAAGGTGGATGAAAAACTTCAAACGCAAGAGATTCCGTAAGACGCTCCTCCTCCTGCTCCTCCTGCT